CCCCAAAACCCCAAAACCCCAAAACCCCAAAACCCCAGAAGGCAGCTTTTGATTGATCTTATAAAATTAAAATAACAGACATTCGCTTTAATATGCAGTCTAGTGTAAATATTAACGCTAAAGTTCCATGGAAGGATGCAGTGTGTCTCACCTTGTAAATATAGGGAAAATCTTCTCCTAGGAAGGAAGAAAAGAGCTCGAATATATTTTCCCCACAAAAGAACATGAAAATCTGCTCGAAAGGTCTATCTAGCTTCAAGATGGGTAAGTATAAGTTAATGAAGGATTTCATTCGGTTATAGGCAGACTACTTGGAAAAGGAGGATATGCTAAGTGATACGAAGTAATAGACCTCACCACTAAAAAGGTACACCTCTGGAATGACTTTGTATAGTTATATGCCATCAAAATTGTGAACAAGTCTAAACTGGTGGAGGAAGAGAGCAAAAGGAAGCTTGAAACTGAAATAAAATTGCATAAATATGTATCTTCTTCTATTGAAGACTCGTAAATTTTTAATAATCTTTAGAGATGATAAGGTATCTAACATTACAAAGTTGTACCAGTACTTCGAAGATGCCAAGAACGTGTACATCCTTCTTGAGCTCTGCGAGAATCTGAGCTTGGATATGTTGGTGAAAAGAAGAATTAGACTCAGAGAAGTGGAAGTCAGATGATATCTAGCACAAATTATTAATGGCCTTAAGCAACTCAAGAGGCTCAATGTTATTCATAGAGACCTGAAATTAGGAAACCTGTTTTTAACTAACAAAATGGAAGTTAAAATAGGAGACTTTGGATTAGCCGTTCAACTTAAAAATCCAACTGCCAAGAGAAAATCAGTTTGTGGAACTCCAAATTACATTGCTCCTGAAGTCTTAGATGAAGAGAGAGGACACTCATTTGAGGTTGATATTTGGGCATGTGGAGTAATTATTTATACTCTTTTGGTTGGAAGGCCTCCTTTTGAGACAAGAGATCTTCATGAAACTTACAAGAAAATTCAAAGAGCTTCTTATTCTTTTCCAAAGCATGTAAAGATAAGTGATAATGCTAAGGATTTAATATCAAAATGTCTTCAAATCGATCCTCAAAAGCGAATAAAGCTAGATAAAATGATTTCCCACTCATTCTTCCTAGAAGGTTTCCCTGAGCTGTGTCCTGTTACCACACTAACAATTCCTCCTTCAATTTCATACAGTGAGGCTTTCAAGCCAAAATCCTCATCTCCAAGAAAAACTCTTTTAAAGACTTCTGCTTTTTACAGAAATTCTTATCAGCCAAAGCCTGCTAAGCAAGCATTGGCTCGCTCTATGAAAGCTACTACTCATCGAAACCTTCCCCAGAGAGTTGGCCTTTAAAAAAGAGAGTATGGCCATGACAAAATCAAGGTCCTCAAATCTCAAGTAGCCTTGGTCAAGCCACAGCTAAGAGATGTAGGTCGATTGATAGCCAACAGCTTCCATTTGAAATTAAACAAACTTCGGTAAATTGAGCTAGATAATATTTTAGATTGCTGAAAACCTGAGAAGTAAACGAAAGATTAGACAACAACAGCCTGCAACTCCTAATAATCTGGAGCTTAATAAAAGACCTCAGATTAGAAAAGAGGGATCCTGGGACGAAAGCTCTGTAGAAGGTAATCCTACTGTTTTATTAAATAGCTGAGGAGCTTGAGACAAAGAAATATAACCCAAGATTTAAGCCTCCAAAGCCAAGCTTAATGGGTAGTATCCAAGGCTTTGATAGTAGCAACAAGGCTGCTTATAAATCATTCCAAGATGACTCTAAAAAGAAGAGAAAGTTGAATCTTTACAATTCCATTGGTAAACAAATGTAATTAACCTTTCGAAATAGATAGCAGAAAACAACCCTCTATAAAATCTAAGGCACATAAGAAGCCGAAGGAGGAGCCTTCAACAGCAGAATTAATAAGATCAAGTATTAATGAACCCTCAAAATCTTTTCCTTTAAGAAATATCTGAAATGAAACTGGCCCTTTAAGCACAAAGTACATCCTGATCTCAGGATTCCTTAAACCAAAAGAGAAAGGATTATTTGCTTATAGGTTATCTTCTGGAAATTATGGAATTTTGTTCCCAAATTCATCAAAAATCGTGGTTTCACAAGACTTATTCCAATTCTATTACCTTAGAAGGAGTCTGAAGGATGGGAAATCTCAGTTCAAAGCCTCCTTACATAACTTCAAGAAGGTCCCAGCTTGTTTAAAATCCCAGTTGAAAGAGGTATATTCAGCCCTACAATCTCTTTGTGGGAAGAAACTGCTGCATGACTTCTCAAATCCAGAGTCTGTTGATGAAAGCTTCTACCTGAGCCAGAACATAGTTTACTGCAACAGAATTAGGCAAGAAAGCTCAGCCTTCGTGTTCAAGATGAGCAACCAAATTCTGCATATAATCTTTACTGATTTAACAGAGATCATCTTTAATGAGAAAGAATTGGTGTCAGTGATCATTACCAAAGATAGCCAAATTTTGAAAGCAAATATAGGAAATAACTTCCACAGTTACTTTACACTAGCAAAGAATAATGAAGAGCTGCATAGGAAATTAGTGTTTGCTAAGGAGATATTCCAGAGGGGTAATACGATGAGTGTACAGAAATCTACAAAGAAGAAATATTCCCTGTATATGAACCCACTATCAAAGAAGCCTACAAATTGTTCAATGAACCTAGACTACAAGCCTTATCCTTTAAAGCATAATAGGAAGAAAACTACTTCTGATGTGAATTATAGAACTGCAAGGGAAGCTATTCAAAATGGAGCTGCACAAGAAATCAGAAAGAAATTAGCTTCTCAATTTTATAACTTCTCTAGGCCCGGTCAGAAGAGAAATCATCCTCTGTTAAAAAACAAATCAGGCCTTGGAAAGAGCTCTGGTCATTCATTAAGCAATGACTTCAACAATAAGGCTCTTTATCATTCTAATATTTCATAAATAAGTTCAGGATTTTTCTTATTTGTTCAATAATGGGAGGTTTTGTGGGGTTTTGGGGTTTTGGGGTTTTGGGGTTTTGGGG